ATCCTGAGGCTCCTTTCCGGGAGCACTCGCTGTTGTTCAGGGTGATGGAGCTGTTTCTCCTTCAGCAGATCTGCCCAGCTAGAAAGAAACCAGTCAACTAAGGGCACAAGGAAAGAACTTGCAGGATGCCCCTGATTTGGCTGAAGGCAATCTCCAAGCACATGCTCTCATGCATACATTTTGACTATCAACACACTATACTTATTAACAAGTAAGCCCGTTAAAATTTAATCGGAAGTTCCTGGTATGACCACTAGACACAGGTATATGATTTCAGAACTAGTTGTAGAAATAGCATGAGTTTCAATTAATAACAATTAATTTTTATTTCTCCTATGTCTGAGCAGAGTTCAAAGCCACCTAATTCTTAGTCTCTTACAATAAAGCAAACTATGGAGATTTTTTTAATCACTAAGGGTAGAGTTATTTTCAGATTAAAAAGCTTTGCTCACATTGCAAGCAAGCTCCTTGTTGACACAAATATATGATCTAGAAATACAAGAGTTAAATCCGTCAAAGCGAGTTTCTTCTTTTCTTTAACATGTTTTTAAAATCAGCTCCACAAGAACTGTACCTTATTTTCTTATTAGCTGCTCTTTTTACTAGACTAATTGGAATCCACCAAGGCTTAAGGGTAACATCAGTACCCCGACAAGAACCTCAGAATCACGTTGCTAGCGGGGATGCTCTGACAAGATCTTAACATATTCTTAGCTCTACATTTAGAGAAAGTTATTGTTGTTTCTGGCACCCCGGATCCATAGCCCAAGCAAGCTTTCAAAAAAATTCAGTGTGGGTCAGAAGGGATGACAGCCAGCCTAAGAGACCTCAGGTAGACACACGAAGTGCCGTTCTGTTTACTGATCAGGACAGACCACAGAGCACACACAGATACACTGTGCTCTTGCCTTGCCTGTAAGCCACACCGCTTCTATGCGTTATTTTTCCATTGATTTACAGATGCCCAAACTTTTATCATGAAATAGTACAAATAATATATATTAAGGAGTTTATTAAAAAAGGGATGGGGCACAAGTAAAATGAACATTTTTGGGGAGATTTAGGTTTAGCCAGAGTCCCTAGGTATTGTATGGCAATGAGAAGGAGTAATGCTTCAAAATTCGGAAGTTATAATTAGTGCCTTTATATATATATATAAAAAACTAAACAGGCACTACCAGGCTGGTACAATCATTTGAGTGGATACTGAGGACACACTTTGAAAGTTTCTAGAACATTTTGAAAAAACACCCTGGAGGAAGAGTAGAAAAAAAAATGTAGTTCTTTTCAGAAAGAAGGTGGTTAGCTTTGACAGCACCTTTAAGACAGCATCTCTAAACTCTATCTTCAATCAGCCCTTTAGACTTCAACAGGCACCCATGTTCAAAAAAAATCTCCACCAAGAACCGTGCCTCTTAAGTGCACCCCCAAAACTGTTACATCTAACAGAAAAGTCTTTTACAAAGATTTTAAGAATGTATTCTTGTGACAGTCATTGAATGTCACTTTCACACTGCAGGGGCAAGTGCAGTTCCCCCAGTGCCAATGTTCAGCTCACTCCAATACCTTAAATATATCCTAAGAAACAAAACACCACAAAAAAGCCTTTAGAGTCTACAATATAAAAAAACTGCCTTGAAAAGTGACTGAAGAGCATAACTGTTAAAGCTGACCAGAATAAAAAGCCATTTACACTAGGGTTTCCACAGCCACACCCTCTCACTGAGCATTATGAAAACGGTTAAGTGTACGTAGCACCCAGCAGAATCAGACCCCTGAAACCTTCTCTTTTTTTGCAATGCCACACCAATGTATGCGTTAAAGGGGTTTGGCACACAGCGGCCACCACCCCCCACACAAACAGCCCCACATCAGAATTTCCCTATCACTAGCTTCCTCCAGTTTACCCAGCAAGCAAACGATCCCAAGCACAGCCCACAGCAGCACTGCCAGGAGGTTCTGCTGGGAAGGGCCCACAGCCACAGCAGGGAACCCCTCTCGCAAAGGCGGCCACAACTGCTTTCTGCCTCAGACACGCTGGTGCCTGGGGGCCAGCCACTCCACCGCAGAAGAGTCACCCAACCACAGTCCAGAACTTCAGATACATTTGTGTTCCATGTCACTGTCTCCAGAAAGGGCCCAAAACTGCATTAATTCTGAACAACACAGTCGTAAAAAGAGCTAGGGGCTATGCTGAAGCTACTGTGAAGAAATCAGTTATGTGCTTAGCCCACTCATCTTTTTGATACCCAAAACCCAGCTGGAACAGGGTATATCAGAAATTCCTGGACAGGAATGAGAACAACAACAACAAAATAAATAAGCCAGCAATATGCTGAAAACCAACTTCCAGTCCTGACAAACTGTCACTCAGCTCTTCCACTTCATGCTGTTTTTCCCCTCCCCAGCAACACTGCCATTCAGGGGCTAGCAGCAGCTCCTGGGGTTAATGAAGCCAAGCAAGGCATCTTCTTATACTGGGAATAAAAAAGGATGCAATGTTATTCGATCTCCTTGCATCACACCCTCTTGTCATCTCAGATTTCCTCATCACCCTTTTGCCAGTGAGAAGGACATGTCAATACCCCCTTTTCTTTGGGACAGACATCAGCAGAGCTAGAGTAGAAGCTGTTCCCAAAAGGATCTGTTCTCAGAACTATCAGCTTGATTCAGAACAACACAAAAGGAGCCACAGGACAGGACAAACGCCTGTCACAGCACTCAAACAACCAAGAATTAAAGCAGAGTGACTAAAGAGGCTGCGTGGGCCAGTCTAATCATCACAGTTGTACTACAGATAAGCAGTATTAGGAGCTGTTAACAGAGAAGGGAGTCCACCAGGTGATTTTTAAAATTCCACTAGGAAGTTGCTCAAAGAGGATTTTGTCATGACACCAGTTTGTCCACGCTCCAGTAACATGGCACAGATTATTAACACAACCTGCAAACCTCAGAATTCCTTCTAGAGGGAGAAAGATCACATTAAAAGACTGCCATTATATACACACACAAACAACACTTTGTCAGAGAGTGATGTTTGTATGATGACATTCGATCCTAGCTCTTGGAATCTTCCAGCCATGCAAAGCTGTAGAATTCAAACTAAAATACGGCATCTCCTTGGCTGGAGATATAATTCAGGTACTGTTTTAATATATAATATATAAAAAGCAAACTCTGTGTGCCACATCTATGCAGAAAAATCAGTTTCATATGTAAGCTTCCAGCTTTTCAGAAGTTGTAATATTCAGAAACCAGAAGAGACACTTTATTGTAGAAACAAACATGCTGATTACAGACTGCTACAACCTGCAGTCCCTTGCATTTTCCACCACACCCTCTTGAACTAGAATTACAAATGACAAAAGTGAAGTTATACAGACAAAAGTATGTGTCGACAGCCCTTTCAGACCACTACTGACAGTGACTCTTTTGATTTTCTGTTCCAGGAAGGGTTCCTTTCCCCAGATACTGTTTTCAAACTCACATCTACAATTACTTTCCTGAGCACATTCAGACCTGGCACTGATGTAACATTCCAAGATTAAAGTCAGTGTTTTTCTGCCTACAGCAAAGAAAAGAAAATGCCTATTCTGTTACAGCAAAGTCAGTTTTCTGCTTTTCGAAGCAGGAGACAAAACTATGTAGTGAAAACGTCACCTCAAGTTGCATTAAAATAGTGGGGAAAAAATTGGGAACTTTGCCTGTAATGATTTTAGTCTTCAGTCAAGCAAATGCCTTGAAAGCAGAAGCCTTTTTAACCAGACGAAGAAGCTGGTTTGCCCTTTATTGCTCTTCCACTGAAAGGAGCAAGAGGAGTAACTCAACAACATGCTGATCACACACTGACCAAATGACTCCAAGGCTGCACAAGCAGATGCAGCAAAACAAACGCTGCTCTTGGGGCAAGTGGCAGGCCGCCGTTCCATTTGCAGCGTAGGGTATGCCTACGCAGAGGGCATTTATCAAAAAACATTTCTCAGCAGAAGAGAAGCATCACAGATGCATCACAGTTGGAATAATTTTAAAACCTTTAACTAGAAAATACGTGTCTTCATTAAGAAGATCACAATGAGAAAGAATCCTAGAGAAGATTACTGAATCAGAGAAAATCCTGCCTCAGCAGAGACCTGTAAACATCTATTTTTGTCACAGCACTTTGACCTTTCAGCATTTTTTCATTATTCAGCCACTTGTCATTTTGTGTACCTATAATAGATACTTTCCTTCACACTGAAAAAAGCCTGACTACTAAAATCCTCATTCGTGAGCAGGTGGCTGGCTGTGTTAGCTGCAACCACTATTCAGCTGCTGTTTGTACCTGCGTAGATGGCTCTCTCAGTCAAGTCATCTGGGAAATGCTGCTTTCCATGCATACATCTCTACTCATGGTAGTTACCCTAGTAGTAGCTGCTGTAGGAAAACATCCCAGCACAGAAAACACTCCAGAATAATCCATTACTCTGCCTGTGACACCACAAAGAAAACAGAGAGCACTTTTCTGCTTTAGCCACAGATTGCAAGGACTCCTCTTGGCAACGGAGCATGATGTTGGTACCTCCTCTGGACTGCATCTCCAAAGCTCCACATATTTGAGGTTCATCACTTAGACATACTGCTGACTGCATCTCTGCATCTATCCTGACTTTCTTGTTTGTTTGGGGCACCCCATTATGCATTAGTTCAGTCTGCAGAGGTTTTGATACTGGCAAACTGAATCCTTTTCTGAGCAAACCAAGCCAGATGCATGCCGAATGCGCTTCATCCCTTAGGGACTTGTGAGGGTACAAATCAACAGTCTTTTGCCCAGTAATGAATGATATGCATGGTAGAGGCATTTCATCCAGGGATTATACTAGTCCAGAGTAAAAAAAATCTCCAAACCACATACACCATGGAATATGGGGTCCCCAGGTTTTATCTACTCCTATGCTCTGAACAACTCAATATATGAACTGTCTGGGTCTTCCCAGGACAACCCAGGGCACCAGATCCCTTACCTGACTCTCTCTTCTTCAGCTCTTTTAAGCTCTGCATCCCGTTGCAGCACCTTCATTATTGCCTCTTGTTCCTCCTCCGTTAGGAAGCTTAGGTCAATCATCTTGCTGTGTGTGTAGGGGCTGGTAAAGTGTCCAGGAAGATCTTAAATCCTGTGAGGAGGATAGTCTTGTAGTCTGCTTTAAAGGTATGGAAGAAGAGAAGTCACTGAGAAGGCACTGAGAAAGCTGGACAGGTTACAGTCAGCGGTTTAAAGAGCCCCAGATGCTGCTTTCTTGAAGCACAGTATGTTCATGCTTCCCTAGATGACAGACTTCTGGGAAAGCATTTCATTTCTGATTGCCATCGTAATGATGTCTTCTCAGCTCGTCCTCTCAGCTCTGCTTCCTGGAGTAACAGTTCATTGACCCAGCATAACCAGTGTTCAGGAACATCCCCTAAAAAAAGACAAGGAAAAATAAGCTGTAGTATCAGGGAAGTAGATTATGCATGCATTTTTAATTAAAAGAAACAAGATTTTCAGTGTGATTAAACTACTTTGTGAAGTTCAAATGGTAATTTCAAGTCAAACCTGTTTTACAGGCCTCTTGAACAAGGCGGCCATGAAAATATATTCCTTTCCAATATGACAACTCACACCCTAAGAACACAGAATCAAGTGTCATTCAAACGATACATTTTAAAATGAGTGCATTTTAAGTTGTCCTTTAAGTCAGCAGAACAATTTGGAGAGGGAAGGGAAAAAACAAGTTTAAAAGATCAAGAACACTTATCACATTCATTTAAAGTAAAAAATAACAAAACAAAAAATCAAAATGTGTAGTCACAAGTATTCACATCATACTCAAGAGCACACAAGAAATCTGTGTGTATGGCTATCACATACAGACAAGAGCCAGCTATCTCTGAAGAAAAATTCACTGCTGCTTGCAGCCCTGATTCACAGCAATGCAGTGGACAGTGAGGCAGCCCAACGTGCATCCACCATGTTCACCTTCTGTCAGCACAGACTTGGATCACATCCGTGAACTCTATTCACAAGAGCTAGAAGTTGGGTTTTGTTTAAATTATTTAAAGAAAGATTGCCTGAGCTCCAAGAACAGAAGACTAAGAGGAAAAATACAAACCACTTGGGCTAAAACTCACCAGTTTGCCATGCCAGTTTACTTATCATTAGCAGATTTCTATGACACTGTTTTCGGCAAGTCAAAAGTCAAAAACAGAGCAAAAGAATCAACCTATTAGGACAACCCATTGAACTTTTGGACCTTACTCCACTCCTACCAGTGTGCTTTGCCTTCCACTCCTGCCTTCCTACTCCAAGCCTTCAAAGACTCCTTTCGCCTTACAGGAGATCAGAAAGGCAGCAGTCATCAGAAGCCCTGCAGGAAAAACCCTGAGGAAGCCATCAAAGCGGCCAAATGCAACATGTTGCAGCAGTGAGGTGGGAGGAGGCTGGGAATGTGTTAGAGGAATTTGTATGCTCCAGTTCAAGACTTGGGGAGCATGTTCTCAAATTGGTACAATGCCTCTTTCTACAGGCTTTTGTCTTCTATTTGCAACAACAATGGGTATCGCTCATAAAAGCTTCTCACGTGCTACTCAGAACTAAAAGCAACAGAATTAAGAGATTATTTCCTCAGAATCTCCCCAAATGGGAATGCTATAACAGACTTTTAACCAAAATACACTTCCCCAGAAAACACACAACACTCCTCACTGAAGGGTCAGGTACCAGGTTTGCAAAGTCAAGTTCCTTAACAGTAAACCTTTTAAACTTTCTAGAAGCTGTTGTTAGCTGCTGGAGTCAGAACAGCTATGGCATTCTGACTAGTTACCCTGAGGTCAAGAAGCGAACGTCTGAGTCATTTCCCTTTCCTTTGTACCAGCCCTTGCTCCGGGAACAAAAGTCAGGGTATCTATGGTCACCACAGGCCACAATATAACTTAATTTACAAGATATAAATGTAACTTTTACTCACAACATTTTACCCCTAATAGTATATAATAATTATGTCAGGAATATGATGCCATGCAGGCCCAGTCACTGTCCTACAGAACATATGGAATAAGTATGAAATAATTTCTATATAACTACCTTGAATACGTGGAATTAGAAGTCATGCAGTAACATGAACCTCACTGCTTTATCCAAACCAAACTGCATCTATAAGCAGTAATTTAAAACACTGTTTTGCCTCTAGTTTATATGCCATGGTTCCAGATAGCTAAAAAAAGCAGAGGACTATTCACTTACAAGGCAATCCCAACTGTCAAAGGCAAAAATGCCTTCTTCAAAAAAAAACTCCTAAGGAATAAAAGACAATGGGGGGAGGGGGGAGTCAGATGCATCTGGAGTTGAATCTCTTGGTGCCTCTGGGTAACAGCACCATGGATGTAATGAAGCCAGAGAAAAAGAAATAAAAAGCTTGAATTTAACGTAAGCCTCAGAAGCATCCCTAGTGACAAACCTGGTGAGAGACAGAAGAGAAGCAGATGTAGTTATTGCACGTGTCTCAGGCAGCTGCCACCAGAATCCTTCAGGTACGTGTGCCTGCCTTAGGGCCTTGCAGTCTGACACTACCACCTGGCAGACAGGACACTGGCATCATATTGATCTAATGAGCACTAAAATCACGCAATGAGTCATTGCGCTTGCTCCGCTGGCCACAGAGTTCAGCCTGAAGGCTAAAGCAAGATATCGGCACTGACGCTACTCAAACAGAAAACTCAGCTCTAAAGATAACAGCATTCCTTACAGATGTGGAAGGCAGCTGCAACCAGGTTAATGATGATCTCCCCAACAACCTTCTACATGCGGTTATGTTTGGCTGCCATATTTATCTTCTCCATGATTTTCATTGTGATTTTGTTCCATGAGGTTGATATAACCATATCTCAAACAACCTGCCATCTGTAACTTCATTTATATTTATAGAATGACAGTTTTCTAATTAGGCAGAAGAAAAAAGTGCTTACTATAGGGCTACCAACAAACGCAACAATCCTAAATTTGTTGAGGATCTCCTTCAGCTTATGCACAACTATGGATATTCGTTTTGACTATCATGTAAAAACTTTTCACACCATCTGATACACCAGTCAGCATCCACAGTGCTAATCCAAAGCCCTGGACACTAACTGAATGGAGTGCACACAGTTGCCAACAGGCACAGAAGCTTATGTTGCAACCACAAAACCTGGACAGATGTGAACTGGAATAAAGAATTTTTCTTGTAAATTGGGCAAATTTCTTGCCTCAGATGAAGCAAGTCTGTAAGAAAGCTGCTGTAGGAATGACATCTTCCCATGTCTTTGTCTTCATGTTTAAAGAAGGCTGAGGGAAGAAGTGTTTTTTGTGTATTAGATTGACAAAGCCTGCAGCTTGTTTTGGGAATGCTGTCCAACATTTCTCTTAGATTTTTAAATCAATGTCTCACAGTATTCAAATTAATAAAACTAGTGGAAGCAAAACTTCAGTCCTCCCCAGCTGAACAACAGTTTGCAAGGGCTGAGCAACCACACAGGCTATGGGAACTCACAGCAAGCTGCACTTCTACTAAACTTCCCAGGTACCATAATTCTGTGTAGTAGTTTCTGCAACTAACGTTGCAATCACCTTTTGTTTTCAATCAGGCACAAGACACCTACACTGGCAAGCTCTTAACCTTGGTTTTTTTTCCCCTGGTAGGTATCATACAACATGGTTCCACAGTTCACAAAGCTGTGTTCTGCTAAATTTAACATACCTACTATGTCTGATTTAACTGGAGCACAGTTCTTCGGAGGGAAATCCTACATGAATTCTGATCCACTTGCACTCGTCCTGTATTCAGATTTACATGGCGCCATTAGCTGGCTTTGCCCCCACCGTAGGTTATGATAAAAAGCCTCTCCTGCCCCAAGTAATGCAGCTGACACCCTTTAGGTTCCTTTGCAAAGCTAACAACGTAATGCTTCGGTTAAGGCATGTCTGAGTACTTGAAAAACTATCCCCTCATCTCACTGGATAAGCAGTTGAGAAAACTAGCAATAATCAGTTGGGGGAGTTTTACCCCCTTTAATGTGTATCATCCATACAGTGCAAGTTGTGTCACATTTCACTATGATAACACGTCTTTAGTCACTGGAACCATGCCAGTCACAAACTGCCAACAGAGCAGTTTTTAGTCTCTGCAGAAACAAGAAGAAAACCTCTTTGTGTGGGGGTACTTGGCCTACCTCATGAGACCCACTGATAAATGCAAGGTTGGCTTTCTGCAAAAGATTGTTAGCACTCATTCCAAGCACAGACAGTAAGAACAGCTGGCTTAGAGTATAGCACCCATTATAAGACCTAAGGCTAATTAAAAAATAAAAAAATTCAAAAGAATAATCAAAGTCTTCCTCCAAGTCACCCACTACCACCAGCCCAAGCTCAACTCTTTTGATTTCCTTTTTGACAATTTTCTCTCTCAAAAGCTCCCATACATGCCAAAAGGTCTCAACAGTTTGTTTGGTGCTACTGCAAGTTCAAGGGGAAGTTCTCCTCTGCCAGGAAAGTTTTCAGACCCAAGTTTCAAATAAGACTGAAAGATCCATGTCAGACTGATTAAATCACGGAAATCAGAAATACCACATTGACTCATTTCTGGAGAAAGGTGTCCTGTGCTGTAGACTAACATTACTGAGTCTTAGGATACTTGACTTTTTTTTTTTTTCCTTAAACCTTAAATTCAAGTGAAACCACACAAAGTTCTTCCCTTCCATAAAAGATTTCTAGTCCCTGTAATAAACAAGAATCTGAAATTATGTTTTACATAACTCATGCATGAAAGCTTCTATGTTTTAGCAATAAAAGAAACAGAAAAAAGACCCAAGATGCAGTTTCTCCTCCCCACTTCTAGAGCTACTCACAACTTCTAAGTGCTTTGTTCCAGGCACCCATCCAATAATATTATCTCATAAAATTTCTCAAAACCTTCTGAGGCAGTTATGCACCCCAATTCCTTTAAGTGAGACTTTACATTTTTGTAGAACACAAATCATAACAGAAAGACAACCTTGTCCACAAACTTGTTTGCCCTAGAGAGAGTTCAGTTTGCCCCCTCTGCTGCCTTCTCC